TATGTATGGTGGGCTACCATGTTAAACAATATCTTTACAAGGGCTAGGGATTTAGCTCAGTGGTTCTGCCACCTGCCTCACATGTGCAAAGTCCTGAGTTCAATCCCTGGTACCAAAATAAATAAATAAATAAAAATTAAAATAATAAAAATATCATTTCTTATCCAAATTAATGTTTACTACACTCATTTATCTCCGGTCTTACAAAATTGAGAATATTTTACTTTTGCATCATTGGAAAAACAAAAAAATGTTCTAGAAATGCTCAACTGACATTAACCTATGAACTATTCAGTGATGGAACTTGGAGCTAAAATTCCAGTGGACCCCTGGATTTGCACATTTCTAAAGTTACCATACTGAGGTATGTTCACTCTTGCCTATCATATTTGTAGTTTGTAAATATTTCTTATGTTATAATTTAAAGTTACCAAAATTTAGATTTTGAAACAACTTAGTTAGTATTTACCTCTGCCACCTAAGCAGCTTTATGATGGTGGAGAATGCATGAAATTGATCAATTCTGACTCCTCGTCTTTAAAATGGTAATCACAGGGCAATAGGTGAGAAATCAGATAATATAATCAGAGGCATCTAATTTCAAGTAATAGTCACTAAGAGTGATCATAATTATAATTACCAGACTATTATGATAAATTATGCCATATACTAAAGAAGGGAAACATTTTTCTATAAATACTCACCCCATTTCCCCATACTTCTGCTGGTTCTTTAGTTTTCAGTTGATATCCAAGAGAAGTGACTTTCACTCCAATTAACAACATAAACTATTGGTGCAGGTAAACTCTTCAGAGAAGAAGCGTGAACCGAGTGTGATACAATTATTGACAAAAGTTTATTTTTACTGTTCAATTTTTTAGAAAGGCAGTCTAATGGACATATTAACTATTAATCTTTCTGTGTTTTTCAGGCATTAATTCTGTATAAGATAGCTCTCTGGGAAAGCGTAGTGGTGGAACCATATTGCATAAATCCCCACAGAAAAGCATTTACTGAATTATGATTCAATGATGAATAATTTAGAGTCTGCACTCAACCATCTAGAAGTCAAATGTATGCCAATTACATTTGATAAATGCTTACACTGCTTTTCAGGGCCATAGAAGAAGATACCTGCCAGTCATTCATTCTTCTAGTCAAAAACTCAGGGTAGTTTCATTCAACATCAAAATTACTTTTAAACGATTCATCTAGGATAAGTACTTCTGCTGAGAGAGATAAGTGCTGATGAAGGCTGCACTGTGGTACAAGATTTCTGTGTTTTCTGAGTTAATCTTTACAGCATTTTGACATATCTGAAGGATTTCAAATCACACATGTCAGGAAAATAAGGCTGAGAAATGTTATTAAAGCCTCATAGCTAATGGATAGCAAAATGAGAAGTCCAGATTGTTTTAATATAGAGTGGTGACAGAATGTGAAAGTGGATACTATACTTTGTGCAATGAAAATATAGGCTTGTAAATGGAATCTTGAAGTTGAAAGGTGTCTAGACGATTTCCATTCATGGAAGTATCTTTACAATAAGTATGAAGCCTCCCTTTCCATAAACTTTCATGAACCGTATTTTTAAATTAGTATCAGAACATGTTTGCAGTACCTACTGATTACTTTCCCCGTGAGGAGTTGGTACGTGAAAATAACACATTTGAATTGTTTTTCTCATCACTTTTCCTTCCCCTCCTTCCACCCTCCCTCCATGTCTTGGTCTCATTCTCTTTTGCAACAGATTTCCCTGTTTCCTATTATCTGCCTTTCTTGTCCTCTTTATGTCGTGCTTTTCTCCTATGAAGAAACCGTAATATTTATGTTTCTGCATATGATTTATTTCATTGAACATTGTGGTCTCAAGGGGCATTCGTTTTCCTACAAATTGCTCAAGTTTCCCTATGGCAGAATAGTACTCCATTGTGTACAAATACCACACTTTATTTATCAATTTATCTGTTATTGAGCATATAGCTCACCTCAACATTTAGCTGTTATAAGTTGCACTTCTATAAATATGGGTATGCATGTATCACTGTAATCTGATGTTTTTAATTCTTTCAAGAAGACAACTAGAAGGAGAATAGCGGGATTGAATAGAATTTTGTTTTTAATTTTAACATGCATAAGTTTATTTGTTAGTCATCAAAAGGGGTCTCTTCAAATATTACATGCAAGAATTACTTTCACTATGGACCAAAATGATATATAAAATGTATTTTATTTTATTAATTCAATGCTATATAAGATTACTTTTGCTTATATTTTAATCAATTTAATTTTACCAAAAATATTTGAATCTGTTACAATCATCTCATCCAACTAGCAAAAGTCAGTGCATTTCATTGCTAATTAAGAGGGAGGTCTAATACCTAAATAAATCCATTCTATTTTTGATGCTATTTAGGAAGCTCTTTATTATCTTGAGCTCAATCTATTCTGTCCTGTGTTCATTGATTTCAATACATTCCTCTGAACAATATGGAAGTCTCTCTTTTTCTTCCTCATGAAAATCATTTAACTACTTGGAAACAAAAACGTTTCACTTGTATTCTTTCTGTCTCAATTACTGTGCTTCATTTATTCTTTTAAATCATCTCAATGTGTCATTTTACTTTAATCAATATTGTGATACCATTTGAAGACTCTCCAGTTTCTGTACCTGCTCATAGATTAATACAGAGTAGAGAAAGTCTTCCTCCTCCACCTTCTGTCAATAAAGAAGAAGGCAATATTAGCTTTCTTGGCAGACATAAATCAGTATTGATTTGCATTCCAGTTATTTTTAAGTAAAACCCTTTGACAGTTTTCTGGCACAAAGCATCTCTGCACTGCACTTGTGCACACAGTTCCAAATTTCTAAATCTTACATGAAGTACTATTATTTATTATTCTTTTTGCTCTGTCCCACTACTCTAAGATCAAATTATATCACAATTAAAAATTCACTATCTAAGTTACTTTTCTCATTCTGAGACAAAATACCTGACATCTAAAGTTACAGGAGGAAGGCTTTATTTAACTCACAGTTTGTGGAGATTTCGGTCCATAATCAGGTGGCTCCAAGGTAAGGTATCATGGCAAACAGGGCTCACAGAAGATAAACAGTTCATGGTGGGGAGATGGCAGCAAAACAAGCAAGAGGGGAAAACAAGACTCTTTCTGTCCCTTATATTGTATCCAGGCTACAAGGACTATGGCAGTGCCAAACCAGTCAGTGAACTAATTTAGTAAACGCCCCATCCTTTATCCTAGCATTCCACCATGAGTCAGTCACACATTCTAGATTCAACCATCTCTGAAAAGTCCCACCTATGACTGCATGAGGCTTTGGGAGGATACCTACACATAAGCCATAACATTCATGTTATTTCCTATCATGTGCTAACTATGATACCAGGCATTTTTATCCATTTTAAAAACTATCCTTATTTAATCCAAGGAGGAATCCCAATTTTACAAAAGAAAAAAACAATGTCTTTAAGACATTAGGTAACTTTACTGAGCTGCCCCAAAACATGGAACAATATTTGAGATTTAAATGTAGGTTTTATCCATTTCAAAATGCATGATTGTATTTGTTTCACTTTTTTCTACTAAGATATTTTTCCACCACAATCAAAATTATCGGTATCCCAAATAAGTCATATAGAATACTAAGGGCTTGAGTGCTTTATTTGTTGTATCTGTTGGTTAAATGGGGTTTGGATAGTCCCTTAAAATCTATCTTATTATTGTATTTGTTCAGGTCATTTTTTTCATCTTATGAAACAGTTTTCAAAATAATTTTTTTAAATATGCATCTATGTATATATGTTTCATTCATTTTCTTTATTAAATATTCAAGGCCTTCAGTAAGAACATTAAGCATGAACAGAATTGGTTTATGTAAAAAAAAGTCCGTGAACAGCCAGGTAGTGTCATAAATCGCATTGATTAATTAACTAATTTCATTTGAAGGAATGGAAGAACCTTAGTTCTTCACTTTCTACAGCAGAAATAACAGTTAAAAACATAGCAAAACAGTATCTGGTCACAGGTAATTTCTATTTTCTAAGAAAATAGAAGAACTATAAAATCATAACAGGATCATTCTGTAGTTACCTTTAGAAGCACCATTACATAATATAATATAGTGTTAATGTTTATAATGATAAATGTAAGCCATTAATAAACTAGCGCATATTTCTGAGTCTCTGTATAAAGAATATAATTGTGATAGCTCATTAAATGCTTTAAATAAAAAAATTTGTGTGTAAGAAAACTTTAATTATCTGAAGCTTATAAATTATAATTCTTCAAAACTTATGTTTTCCCTCAGTGAAGCTTAGCAGATGAAGTGCTGTTTGGTATGTTTGTTTGTATCTATACTGTTTGTGAATAATTCTTGGCAAACTTTTAATGTCAGTTTTCTACGTGATATTAAAATAAAAATGTTGGATTTTTTTTATATTCTCTTCAATTTCTTTTTTTCAGAGTGTTGTAGTTTTCAGTGTAGAGATCTTTTGCTTCTTTTGTTAGATTGATTCCTAGATACTTCATTTTTTTGGATGCTATTGTAAAAGGAATTTTTTCCCTTATTTCTCTCACCGTGTGTCTGTTTTTTGTGTATAAGAAGGCTATTGATTTTTGGGTATTCACCTTGTATCCAGATACTCTACTGAATCTGTCAATTAAGTCTAGAAGTTTTTTGGTGGAGTTTTTTGGGTCTTCAATGTAGAGTATCATATCATCAGCAAATAATGACAGTTTAACTTCTTCCTTTCCTATCTTTATTGCTTTAATTTCTTTCTCTTGTCTAATTGCTGTGGCTAATGTTTCTGGAACTATATTGAAGAGAAGTGGTGATAATGGGCATCCTTGTCTTGTTCCTGATTTTAACGTGAAGGTTTTCATAGGAAAATGGATACATATTGAAGATATACTCCTAAGTGAAATAAATAAATCACACATCTGTAAATACCGAATAGTTTCCCTGGTGTGAATAATCTGCAATAATACATAAGATCCTAATAAGATTACTGACATTGAGAAATGGGAAGAAAGGAGCTAAAGGTGTAGGGAAGGTGGGACAGGTAGGGGAAGAGTAATAAGGGAAAAGAAAAAAATGTGAGATAATGAAAAGATGGAAATAAAGTGTTTGTAGATGGGGAGGGGAGGAGGAGGTGAAGGGAGGGCAGGGGTAAGGTGAAAAAATGAGAATCAAGACTTTTCATGTAGAGGTACAAGATCCCAACAATGAATGTAACTGTACTGTATCCCTAAAATGTACCAATAAACTCAATTAAAGCTGAAAAAAAGTTGGATGATAATTCCAAAAGCAAACAACTGCCTTTATATCATCAGTATGAAAATGGTACTCCAAGTAGGTATATCCTGATCTTCCTAGTCCCTATTATTTTCATTAAAATTCCCTCATACATAAAACCTGGAACATCTCTTTAAAAACCTGGGCGTAAGCTAGCATTGCTACTTTGAAGATATTCCTCTTTCTGGTTACATATAATTATTTCAGTAAGAAATAACTCCATTGGCTGAAGTAGACCAATTAAAATATCTCTATATTTTATTTATATTTATATTTTAGGCAGAATGATTGATAGTAGGAAAGGCTTGCAAGTATTCAAGGTAATGAATTGGTGTTTTTGCTTATGTAGTAATTCAAAGGTTAGAGTGATTATAGTCATGGGAAAGACAGTGAATTATATTTTACCTTTTAAATTGCATTTGGTATACATCCATATAGAGACATTAATTGAAACTCTATGAGCATTTATCAGAAAAATGGATATGAAGAAGGCAGAACTTTTAAGGATATCAGAATTAAAATATAAGTTAAATTTGACCCATATTGCTGGATATGTAGTTCAGGATAAGAGGCACAGATTTGGTCCTCGGCACTGGAAAAAAAAAATGGCCTTTACTAAGATTGAGTTAAAGGAAGTGATAAAAAATATAAAAAGGCAACAGGTACGTATGATCTAGGATCAAGGAACACTACATTTAGGAAAGAAGAGACCAACCAATAGTTATATACAGCTCATGTGAAAATTGAATGTAGCTACACAAAATATCCAGAACAAACAGGATTCTTTTATTAAAGTAGAAAAGTTAAAGAAGATTTCAATAAAATAAAGAGCATTCAAGAAATGACTACATGAAGTAGATTGGGTAATTTATAAAATTATAAGTGAAGCATAATGCTAAGTATAATAAAACTCAGAACAATTTAGTTCTCTGCAAAACTCTGGAATGTGTTCCTTGAAGGTACTTATTGAATTTGTTTGTCGCAGTGGTTCACATCCAAACCTTTTGTAAATTTAATTTTTTCTTAATAAACCTAACTTCATTATCAAACTAAAGAAAATTAATTTCTTACAGGTACAAAGTTGGAAATGATGGCTTCCCCGGAACTGAAGGGCCTTGTTCCCTTCAGCAAGAAGTCTCTGGAACTTATAAAGCAGCACATCGCTAAGAAACACAATAAGGAGAATGAAGGAGATGATTTAAAGCCAAATCCTGATTTGGAAGTTGGCAAAGAGCTCCCCCTTATTTACGGAAGCCTTTCTGGAGCTATGGTGTCAGAGCCCTTGGAAGATGTGGACCCATACTACTACTTGAGTAAAAAAGTAAGAATTAATTCAAACTATTGGGACTACATTATTTATGTTATTTTCCAAATGTGCAAAATTGTAATTGAGCCAGGAAATAAATGAACAACACACAAAATAAGATAATTTTTAATTATACAGAACTGCATTAAGTATTTTATTTAGGGAATACATATATTTCTGATTTTTATCAAGACTAGCAACTTATCTGATTATGTAGTTTTATTACTTCTTAATATATGTACTGATATACCTTAATATAAATGACTTGTTTTATGGGAATATGGTGATTGACTATTTATGATTATCAATTGTGAAACAACTTTAGAATGTCTAGAAGATACAAAATTTAGAACAGCTAAATTGATGAGCTTATTCAAAAGTTAGGAAAGCATTCAACCTATATTCATCATTTGTGGTCATTCATGAATTCCTATATTCACACCTTATCTCCAGGAGTACTTGAGGTACATACTGGTGCATGTATAATCCTACAACAAGGACAGAATGCTAAATATGAACAAATTGTGTTTAGAAGAAACAGAGACCATGTAGACTCATAAAGCTGGAAGCGTTTTCATTAAGAGAGGAAACCTTGAGCAATAGCATGGAGAGCACTTCAAATTTTAGTATTTCAAAAGGGAAGAACTTTTATGAAGAGGCAAGGATAGATATTCATTCTGGAATAAAGAAAAGTACCTAGGGATGCTGTAACTGGAAACTTGGCAGGGTTGTAACTTGTGGGAAATAAGAAGAGGTAATGGAGATGTCAGCATGTCTTTAACCTGGTGAGCAAAGGACTGGGGTGATAAGTACCCTGTTTAAATAAAGTCAATCTGGAAGACATCTAAATTGACATTACATTTGAAGTCAGTAAGTAGCACATTGTTGAAAACAGTCCTTTTCACAATAGCCCATCCTTGAAGCTTTTGTCTGAGGTGCACCATGCCAAGAAGACCAGGATTAATACGAAACTGGATTTAGTTTTCTAATGTCCTTGGTTTTGTCTTCAGCATAATACTGGCAAATAAAGCAAAAAGATTGTAGGTAAGCAGGTAAGCCTAACTATGAATGAAAGTAACACATGCATTTCCATTTGACAGGCTGTAAAAGAATACACAAAAGAAGATATATAAGAGAGAATATAACTGTGCTGATCATTGGCAACATATTGCATAAGTGATGATATTATAGTTCTACATTCCAATTTCACTTATTGTTTTCCTCCTTATAGACTTTCATGGTATTGAATAAAAACAGAACCATCTTCAGATTCAATGCCGCTTCCATCTTTTGTACTTTATCACCATTCAGTACTATTAGAGGAACAACTATCAAAGTATTGATACATCCATATCCTTTTCTTTTGGCTGGTTGAGTGTGTTTTAAAGGGCTAATACCAAATCAGTTATTCTGTTATTCAACTATTCCTGAAGAAGGTCTTTCTTTCTGATTGCTATCTCAGGTTATATTGAAATCTAGATTACATTGCATCAATTATTTCATATTTTAAAATTATAAAGAATGTCTTCTAATACCTTCACTAGTACTAGACATTAACAAATATTAATTTATGTCTCCATTGATTTTTCAACAAGAGTAATATAGATCTGTTGAATATTTACAAATATATTTCATTTCATGTACATATGAACACAGATTATAGAAATGTATCATTTCTAATGTCATTTATCATTCATTATTCCTTGACTGTAACCTACTCTTTTCCAACTGTTAATCTTAATTAGTGTCCTCACAGATTGCATACTCATGACCATGAATAATTTGCCGGAATGGGGACCAGCAGTAGAGTAAGTCATATAATTTTGTTTTACATAGTATCCCATATATCTTAATTCTAACATTTTATAATTTTAATGTCATATTTTCATAAATTACATATTTACATTACATTACACAATTTAATATTTATGTAGTAGAATATTTATAATATATAATGTAGTATATACATATATAATTAATGAATTTTCCAAATAAAATCATTTGTTTTTTCACCAGTTTTAGAATATTTCTGCCCTTTCATTATTCTTAGTTAGATTTTAATTGCATCTGTTTCTCAGTAAAGCAGATTAATATTTGATTCTTTAGCTGAAAATTTATTTTATGAGATCATGCAGTTGGGATTTTATTGCAAACTCAATTATTATTGATTAATATAATATTTCAGTGCCCTGGATCTTTACTATTACAACATATTGTTTTTATCTAGCTCAGAAAACCTCCCATTCATTTAGAATTTCTTAATATTCTATTCTACTTCCTTTTCTTAAGTAATATGAATAGTCTCATTTGCATTAGACTGCAATGATAGAAAGGTCCATTAAATTTTCTAGGGATAAAAGCTCTGTTAAAGTTATTTCCAGAACTTTACTCTTAAGCATTGTTGACTTCAAAAGGTATATTTAATACTGATTCAACAAAAAATTCCTTATATATGGTGATCACAAATTAGGTCTTGTACATTCCCTTAGTTAGTATATTATTATTAATTATTGTGCAATATCATAAGGTGTAAATTTTATATTTTCTTCATTAACCTTAGTAATAGGAAAGCATCTTGTTGAAATAAGACTTTTTGAAAGAAGTTGGCAGTCAAATTTCAGGGCTGACACCATGAGAAGTAGTCATCCTAGAATCCAAAAGCATTGTGCTGAGAGGCCCAAGGGGCACTTACTGCTTTGATTGTTATCTGATTGGTTGTTTTTGGCCTGCCAAACAGAAAAGTGTTCACTTTTTCATGACCTATTTTCAAATATTTATTTTCATATTGCTATGATAAGCATAGTATTTCAGAATGGGCAATGTACACTTCTTACTTTTATTACTGATATAAAATTTTTTCTGCAGGCACACTTTGCTTGGAATTTACACATTTGAAATACTTGTAAAAGTCATTGCCAGAGGTATATGGGCAGGACCTTTTTCTTTCTTTGGAGATCCATGGAACTGGCTTGATTTCGGTGTGACTTTGTTTGAGTAAGTATTTCTTCAAGTAGCAAACACCATAATCATTTGCCAATATTTTATGTATGTATTTATATATTTTTGTTAGTCATGTTTGCAGTACATGATGTTTACATTCTTTGTGTCAACTTGGTAGTAGTAGATAAGCAGTTAAATAACATATCTTAATTTCCTTTTCTTCCCCCCTCCATCTCTCCTGCCCCTTGCAATTTGAGAAAGATCTCTCTCTCCCTATTTCCTCTTATCTGTCTTTTATTTTGCTCCTTATGTATAATTTGGGTTTGTTTCAAATACACACAAAAGTGTAATGTACAATACTAATTATTTCATGTCCATTTTTTCCATTTAGTGTATTTTGTTTTATAGATATGGAAATGATCATAGACAACACATTCCCATTAAAAATAAAAATTTAAATGACATGCCATTTGTAGCTTTCTATCAGTCAACTTTTCTTTTTTTTTTTTTTTTTTTTTTTT